CTACAGCTTAGAGAAGTGAGGGATGGGGGGGAAAGGCAGCAGGGAAACATGGGGACACTGAGACACTAGGGGACGCTGAGAAATATGGGGACGCTGTGAGGCACATTGGGACATGGAGACACTATGGACATAGTGTCTCCATGTCTCCCAGCCAGTGTCCCCTACACTCCCAGTGTCTGTGTCTCCATGTCTCTCAGTGTCCCCAAATATCTGTCTCCCAGGGCCCACGTCTCCCAGCTAGTGTCCCTAGTTTCTCAGTGTCCCCATGTCTCCCAGTGTCCCAACATTTTTCAGTGTCCCCATGTCTATGTCCACCAGTGTCCCCAAGTGTCTCAGTGTCCCCATGCCTCCCAGCCAGTGTCCCTAGTGTCTCAGTGTCCCCATGTCTCCCAGTGTCTGTGTCCCCATGTCTGTATCCACAAGTGCCCCCATGTCTCCCATTGTCCCCAAGTGTCTCAGTGGCCCCTGGTGTCTCAGTGCCCCGTGGTGTAGCAGTGCCCCCCTGGTGTCTCAGTGTCCCCTAGTATCATAGTGGCACTGGAAACACTGAGACATGGGGACACAGGGAGAAATGAGGACACAGACACTGGGAGACTAGGGGACTGGGTGACATGGGGACACTGTGATAAATATGGACACTGATGCCAGGCTGGCCTTCAAATTCTTTGGACAGTCATGCCCCCTTTTTGGGCATGTTCGCCCTCTTGGCAATTCTGGTCACGTGATTCCTTTTACCCCGCCCATTGACTTCCTGCTTCACTGGACACTGCTTTTAGGGGGTGTGGATTAACTTGAAATTAGATAAAGAGATAAGCATAGAGTATCCTTTGAGTTTCCCTCCAACACCATGTCCATCAGATACATGACGCTTGAGAGGTATGACTGTTTTAATGTTTTTGGTCGATAAGATTCTGTAATTGGGCCCCATCATAATTGTCAGCACCAGGCCCACTGGGCTCTTAATCTGGCCCTGATTAGGGTACAATAAAATACAAAAACAATATTAATACACAATAAATACAAAATGTATAATCAACCATGACAGGTGCATTCTGTTTTGAGGTATGTAGAGAGGGATCTCTTAAAGGACTTTAGGCTTGGGGAAGATTTTAAATTGTGTGGCAGGTTGTTCCATAATTGCGGTGCTCTGTAGGAGAAGGAGGATCGGGCTGCTTTCTTTTTTTTTTTTTAATTCTTTATTTTTGTCATGCATGTATCAACAACAATGACACAGAGCCACATCAGCGTCTGTGTGCATCTTACAGCATTTAACAATGTCACAGGTTAATACAGCACATTTTTAAGGTTTAAGAGTAAAAAAAAAGTCATAAAAAACAAAACAATTCTGTTAGTAAACAGTGAGGTGGATGATACGCAAAACTCTATACACATTCGATTTCAAATTCCGTTTTAATGTGCAATGGCAGTCTTGCTACTTACATTGCTTATTGATATAAAAAGAGACACATTAACTGTAAGAGATGCCCAGAAAATATCAGGGAATTGATGAAAATAACGAGTCAGTACAGTCATAGTGGCTGGCCTTACCGTGTGTAATTATATAGACTTCACATGCCCATCCCTGACATATGCCCAATGAGTCCGCTATCTAAAGTTAGGTGTTGAAGAGTGCGACTATCATGGCAGCCATACCATGATCCCATTCTACGCAAAAGTCCAACTTGCTCACAGACTACATTGTTCATCCAACCGTATCTTCGTATTAAAGAGAGGTGAAAAAAGAAAACGCCACCTCCCATGGAGAAACCAGAGGGAGGGGAATAAAAATAATAAAGAAGGATGAGACTGAAGAAGGGAAATTCCATAGTGGAGAGAAAGGAAGGAGGAGAAAAAACAGCCGAGATGTAGAGAGCAGAGAAACTGTGAGGAGAGAGAAAAGAGAGAAGAGAGAGAGAGGGGGAGGGGGTGGAGCTCCCTGCTACGTGGGGGGGCTGCTTTCTTTTTGTATTGAGGTAGACTAAATAAAGTGTTGGTACTGGATCAGAGGTTATAGGAAGTGGGAACAGCTGGGGAAAGCATTTTGTTCAGGTAGGGTGTAGCAAAGTATCTAACCAGGAGAGGTGCCTAATGACAGATTTTAGATATGACCGCTTCCATTAGAATTGGCAACGGTCTACCTGCAAATTTGGTCCAATTAACTGTTTCATTTGGTAGCACCTTTAACCCCTTAAGGACCAAACATCTGGAATAAAAGGGACTCATGACATCTCACACATGTCATGTGTCTTTAAGGGGTTAAGATTGAAAATCTACCAGGCATAGGCAACCTTCGGCACTCCAGATGTTTTGGACTACACCTCCCATGATGCTTTGCCAGCATTATGGGTGTAAGAGAATTATGGTCGATGTAGTTCACATCTGGAGTGCCAAAGGTTGCCTATCCCTGATTCCAGACTATATTTTCATATCAGTTCAGAAGTTGCCTTGCTCCATTTGGTTGACAAACACTGGATGTAGTCCAGATTGTCCTGGATTTTGCTCTCCAAAGTTAGGATCCATTAATAAACCCATGTGTGTTTAAACAGGCCCAGCTTGTACTTTTACACTTAATTTAAACCTCTCTGAATTGCATAAATAAATAGAAAACACCACATGTTGCTCGTATATCAAATTTGGTTTTATTTATTGGTAATTAGCTACACACAGCATGTTAAGGTAGTCACTAAGGAGCACAACCAGCCTCATTCTGTGATTTTGGAAGGTCAGAGCAATATAATAAGGTCCATGAAACAAAGAGGTAACTATGTTCCTGAAAAATAGAAATTTTTAATACTGCCCATGTCACTCAAAAATTATTCCCATAAAGATGTAAAGGGTTGTTCATTAATGTGTGAATTAATTCTAAGTGAATTTCGATATTGAGGCCATGATTCCTTTGAGAAAAAATTCTCAAAGTCTATGTTTACAGTTTAGCGACTTTGGCCTAAAATGTAAGTTCACACTTAACTGGAATATTCACGAAAATAAGAAATTTAAAGTGAATTTCAAATTCTACATTAAAAATAGCTGAACTGAAATCAAAGCTGACAGAATTTTTCCCTTTTTTTTTTCTCATTTTGAATTCTAATTTTCGTGAGTAACTCTTATTCTCTCCCTTTCCTTTTCTCTCCCTCTTTAACTATCAGTGGTTTGCCAAGTTGGACCTGGTTTTTGGTGTTGATTGACCCATTTCTATTTTTTTTTTTTTTTATCTTGGTTTGTTCATTGTGTCTCGTATAGTATGTGCACATTGCTATATGTTGCAAAATGTATTTATTTTTTCTAGTTTTACTCTGGTATTACAGCCCAGGTTTTTTGTTGCTCTAATTGTACATATCTACACGTGTTATATTGCAAAGGCTTGCACGCCTGGTCAACCTCAGTAATGCCCAGTGCTGGTCTGGCAAATCCTATGGATAAAGCAAAAAGAACCGCACTCCAAGGACTTCGTTCAAAGTTTAAAGTAAAACTTTTTAATTCATTAAAAGTCAACGTTTCAGCTCCCACATGGAGCTTTCATCTGGACAGACAAATGTGTGTGTGTGTATGTGTGTGTGTATATATATATATATATATATATATATATATATATAATTTTTTTTTTTGACTGGTAGTGCAATCCGATTTCTTCAGTTGTAAGAATCTGTAAAAGAACATTATCTATTTTCAATTTTTGTATCCGAGATGTGCATTTGTAAATTTTAGCAGTCACCCTGCAGGTATGCTCTAAATTGTAGATGGCCATAGGGGAGGTCTGTATATGTTTTTAACCCCTTAAGGACACATGACGTGTGACATGTCATGATTTCCTTTTATTCCAGAAGGTCCTTAAGGGGTTAAAGAAGTGTCATGATGCGTTGCCAGACTTAAAAAGGAATGCTCTGTGGTCACTTGTGTGAAAGGGACTCTTTCTAAATGTGATTGAAGTTTTATAATGGAGTGAGAAGTTAAGTGAAGGTAAATATAAAAAACACTGACCTTTGTGTGGGTTATGTCCTGCCTCATGATTATTTGGGCAGTCTAATGGTCTCTCATGCAACATAAACTCCCAAACATTACTTCCACAGTGCTTTACACCTGCATTGCACCCTCACAGTGCCATCCTGCATCAAACCATGGACGTAAACACTTTTGCACTGCTAGATAGCATAGCATCCGACAGACAATTGATATATTTGATAACTGTGAATAGTATCAGATGGTTCAAGGAACCACTACACTGAGATGTGGTCCTTAAACTTCCCCTTTTAAAGGGGCACTTAAAACACTATAACCACTACATCACACACCAAGTAGTCAAACCAATTTAGAAGTTTGACATCTTACCTGGGCTTTGCTGGTCACCACTCCCCACCTCCACTACTACAGTTGACCCAGAACCATAACCTCCTACTTAGGAGCTTCCATTAGCTCTCCTGAGCTTAGCCCTGCATTGCCAGGCCTAGCTCAGAAATCTCCCAACTCTCTGTCAGCAGTACTTGACATTGGTAATTACAATGGTGGGAAGCCAGGACACTTCATGCACCATAACAGCACGTTGCAGTGGTTATGGTGCCTGGATAACTAGTTTAATTTTTGTGGCAATAGGGTATTTTCACAGCAATATATGGTCCTAAACACTCCCTAATGCAGTCAGGCACTAAACTCTAAATTTTAGCGAATTAGCCTTAATTTTAAAACTGGACTAAAATAGCTGCTTCTTTTTTTTTTTTTTTTTATTCTACAACTCTGCTGTATTCCCCGCTTGGCTATTTTAGCCTCAGTTTTTCCAGTGGGGTTTAACTCCCCCAAATCCTGAGTTTAGTGAATAACCTCTCAGGGCTGTGAGTGCCCCCCTTGCTGGCCCTGTGTTGCCAGGCAGCACGTGATTCCCACCCTAATGTATGTGTGTGTGACCAGACTGGCTCAGAGCTGTGCGTTCCATAGACATAGAATGTCTATGGTGCGTTCCACGTATCGACCAATCACCGGCGAGGGCGCTCAGCAGCCAATCCCATGCCGCCTTACATACTGAGCTGTCATGGCGGCCGTCCTCAGGGAGAGCTTTCCAGCTGAGAGCCCTGGCTGTGCTGTAACCGGGAGCCGGTGACTGGCAGGTAAACCGCGGGCTGTGGGAGGGTGCAGCTACTCTGATATCTACAGCTTGTCCTTTGTAACCCTCCTAATTCGCACTACTGAGAATGGAGGCCACCCAGCTCCATGGTCCCATCCCCAATAACAGACACCATGCCTTGTACTGAGAATGGAGGCCACCCAGCTCCATGGTCCCATCCCCAATAACAGACACCATGCCTTGTACTGAGAATGGAGGCCACCCAGCTCCATGGTCCCATCCCTAATAACACACAATGCCTTGTACTGAGAATGGAGGCCACCCAGCTTCATGGTCCCATCCCTAATAACAGACACCATGCCTTGTACTGAGAATGGAGGCCACCCAGCTCCATGGTCCCATCCCCAATAACAGACACCATGCCTTGTACTGAGAGTGGAGGCCACCCAGCTCCATGGTCCCATCCCTTAATAACAGACACCATGCCTTGTACTGAGAATGGAGGCCACCCAGCTCCATGGTCCCATCCCTAATAACACACAATGCCTTGTACTGAGAATGGAGGCCACCCAGCTCCATGGTCCCATCCCTAATAACAGACACCATGCCTTGTACTGAGAATGGAGGCCACCCAGCTCCATGGTCCCATCCCTAATAACAGACACCATGCCTTGTACTGAGAATGGAGGCCACCCAGCTCCATGGTCCCATCCCTAATAACAGACACCATGCCTTGTACTGAGAATGGAGGCCACCCAGCTCCATGGTCCCATCCCTAATAACAGACACAATGCCTTGTACTGAGAATGGAGGCCACCCAGCTCCATGGTCCCATCCCTAATAACAGACACCATGCCTTGTACTGAGAATGGAGGCCACCCAGCTCCATGGTCCCATCCCTAATAACACACAATGCCTTGTACTGAGAATGGAGGCCACCCAGCTTCATGGTCCCATCCCTAATAACAGACACCATGCCTTGTACTGAGAATGGAGGCCACCCAGCTCCATGGTCCCATCCCCAATAACAGACACCATGCCTTGTACTGAGAGTGGAGGCCACCCAGCTCCATGGTCCCATCCCTTAATAACAGACACCATGCCTTGTACTGAGAATGGAGGCCACCCAGCTCCATGGTCCCATCCCTAATAACAGACACCATGCCTTGTACTGAGAATGGAGGCCACCCAGCTCCATGGTCCCATCCCTAATAACAGACACAATGCTTGTACTGAGAATGGAGGCCACCCAGCTCCATGGTCCCATCCCTAATAACAGACACAATGCCTTGTACTGAGAATGGAGGCCACCCAGCTCCATGGTCCCATCCCTAATAACAGACACAATGCCTTGTACTGAGAATGGAGGCCACCCAGCTCCATGGTCCCATCCCTAATAACAGACACCATGCCTTGTACTGAGAATGGAGGCCACCCAGCTCCATGGTCCCATCCCTAATAACAGACACAATGCCTTGTACTAAGAATGGAGGCCACCCAGCTCCATGGTCCCATCCCTAATAACAGACACAATGCCTTGTACTGAGAATGGAGGCCACCCAGCTCCATGGTCCCATCCCCAATAACACACAATGCCTTGTACTGAGAATGGAGGCCACCCAGCTCCATGGTCCCATCCCTAATAACAGACACAATGCCTTGTACTGAGAATGGAGGCCACCCAGCTCCATGGTCCCATCCCTAATAACAGACACAATGCCTTGTACTGAGAATGGAGGCCACCCAGCTCCATGGTCCCATCCCCAATAACACACAATGCCTTGTACTGAGAATGGAGGCCACCCAGCTCCATGGTCCCATCCCTAATAACAGACACCATGCCTTGTACTGAGAATGGAGGCCACCCAGCTCCATGGTCCCATCCCTAATAACACACAATGCCTTGTACTGAGAATGGAGGCCACCCAGCTCCATGGTCCCATCCCTAATAACACACAATGCCTTGTACTGAGAATGGAGGCCACCCAGCTCCATGGTCCCATCCCTAATAACAGACACAATGCTTTGTACTGAGAATGGAGGCCACCCTTTAGCCCCACCCCCGTTGGTAGCCAATGAGCATCCAGCATAGTCCATATAGTGAATGATCCCCAATATTCTCCCTTTTTCCAGCTGCAAATCTAGAAGAAGTATCTAGTAGAGTAACTCCAAGGATAGAATGATGAAACTCCAAACAGGATTAAGCTGAAATATATAAATAACAGGGTGGGTTAATGGGAGGGATAATACTCGCCTCTTGTCTTTAATAAAATCTTTATTTTCTGACTTCAAGACTAGGAAAATCTTGAATTTTAGACAGGAGGCTCGTATTATGCATGTCCAAAGCTAAATAGTCATAATATAAAATACATCAGAAGTTAATACAATATTATTTTTTAAACATGCAGGCTAGGTCTAAAATTGTTTAAATGTAGATTCTGAAGACCAATCTGCAGTTTTTAACAGATCTGATTAAGAGCCTCCTGCTTAAAACACTTTAGTAGTCATAGCTCCTCTTGATGAGTGAGCTCCAAACATTGAAATAGTAATACCTGCCATAGACATAGTTTGTCGTACCCATCTAGCTAAAGATGTAGAGGAGACAGGCAGAAAAGGTTTACGAAAAGAGATTAGTAATTGCGAGAAATTACAATTTCGAATCAAAGAGGTTTTAAACTCATATGTTTCAAGACAACTAACAACACATAGAAGAGGATAGTCAGAAAATGAAGGATAGAATACAGTGCGGAGATTAGTTTCGGTACGTCTAACAATAGAAAAATTAACACCATCAGGAGTATATTGTCTATTATTTAAGTCTTAAGCCTTAACGTCAGAAACTCTTTTGAAAGGGATGAAACATAGTAATGTGGTAAGCTTAAACAAAAGCAATTTTAAGGATAATGAGTCATTGGCACCCCATGATTCTATCAACTGGAGTACCAGAGTAACATCCCAGATGGAATTATATTTAGGGCATGGAGGACGTATAAGTCTGCAGACTAGAGGATGTTAACCCACAGGGAAAAATTCAATAGGGTCGTGATTTGCTGAGATAGCAGATCTATAGAAATTAATGATGCGATAAGCTTTCCTTGAGTCAAAAAAGGCTGACAAAAAATTTAGAATGTTTGCTAAATCCGAATGTATGGGATCCACTGCCTGTCCCATGCACCAATTAAGCCAAATTTTCCAAGCTGATCTGTAATTTGCACGGGTTCCCGATGCCCATGCTTCTAAAAGAATGTCTCTAGTAATGTTTGAAAATTCACTATGAGATTCGAATGACCCGAAATGAGAGATGCAATCAAGGGAAGTTGGCCTGACAGCAATAGAGGATGAAAAATTCCCTCCGGATCACGAAGAGAATCCTGATGCATCTGTATGAGTCGTGGGTAGTCTGTCAGCCTGCTGAGAAGCTGAGGGAACCGTGGTCGTGATGGCCAGAGAGGGGTTATAACTACTAAGGTCGATTTCTGGGACCATGCTTTCAGAAGTACCCGGGATATCATCGTAAACTGGGGGAAAGCATAATTGATTCTGTCTTTCCAACATTGGAGGAAAGCATCTTAATCTACTGCTTCTGGATCCGGACGCCAACTGAAAAATGTTTCTAGTTGGTGATTGAGTCGTGATGCAAAGAGGTCGTATTGAAATGGACCCCACAGAGCAAGTAGTCGCTGGAAGATGTTGGGATCCAACATCCAGTCGCTGTAATCCACTAGGAAACGGGAATTCCAATCTGCTACTGTATTGGAAAGGCCGGGAAGGTATTCTGCTCGTAACGTTATATTTCGATCTAAATATGCCATAATTCTTTGGCAATGTCCGCCAGTTGCTTGGATTTTGTACCTCCTAAGCGATTTATATATTGGACTGCTGATATGTTGTCCATCTTGAGAAGGATACAACAATGGGATTTGTGTTTTGCAAAACTGCGTAGAGCGAAAAACCCTGCCATGAGTTCCAGGCAGTTTATATGCATATTCGTTTCTTCTAGAGACCAATTGCCTCCACAACGGGCTCCCCAGCCTAATCAACTTGCGTCGGATTCTATAGTTAGGTCTGGGAGTGACGTGAAAATGGCTTTCCCATTCCAAATTTGAACGTGATCTAACCACCAGGATAATTCTGTTCTTGTCTCTGAAGTTAGAGAAATCCCGTCTGAATAGAGGAGACCGTTGCGAAGATGTTCTTTTCAATCTTTGAAGGGCCCGATAGTGAAGGGGGGGCTGGAAAGATAGCCTGGATCGAGGCTGTTAAAAGACCTACAATCCGTGCTAAAGACCTGATGAAAATTAATTCCTTCTTTAGAACTGACCTGATCTCTTTTCGAATCGTTTTCAATTTCAGTGATGGAGGGCTGAGAGTGGCTAAATTTGAATTCACTAGAAATCCTAAAAATTCTATCTCCTGAGAGGGAGTTAAAATCGGGGTTTTGGTTTGTTTTTGTTTTTTTTAATTTTTTTTTATTTATTACAAAGCCAAGGCTTGTTAACAGATTCAATGTCCATTGAGAATGTAGTTGAAGAGTTTGCACAAATTTTTTGCCTAATCAATATGTCGTCTAGATAGATTATAATTTTTACTCCCCTGCTTCGAAGTAGGAATATTACTGGTTTGAGTAATTTGGTGAAACACCAAGGTGTAGAGGATAAACCAAATGGCAATGATTTGAATTGCCATTTCTTCCCTTGCCATAGGAACTGTAAATATTTCTGACATGAGTGGTGGATAGGTACCGTGAGGTATGCATCCTTCAAATCTATTTTGATCAACCAGTCTTTGAATAGCAATAGGTCTTTGAGGTAATAAATTCCCTCCATTTTGAAATGGTGGTATCTGACAAAATTGTTTAAGTATTTCAAGTTTTTTGACTGGTCTGTGACCAGAATCTTTCCTTTTCACCAAGAATACATTGCTTATGAAGCCTGGGCTGCTCATGGGCACCTGTATGATGGTATTTTTTTGAGCATAAACTTAATATTTGTTGATTCACCATGGCCTGGTCTTGAGTCGAAAAATTTATTGGGAAAGGCATGTTTCTTTGGACGGGGCATGATATAAAATCTATTTTTTTTTTTAACCTAGAACCGTGTCTAGTATCCAAAATTCTTTGTAATCTGACTCTAGGCATGGGAAAAAACAAGTGAGTCTGCCCCCTAACCCTACCAGGGAAGAAAGGGGGGTTGTTGTACTCACTGGATGAAGATCTGAAGCGAGACATTCCTCGATGGCCTCTTGATTTCCAAGGTCTGCCACGTAGTGGAAAGAATGGAGTTGATTGTTGGGTGACATGAGGGCCTGGTGGGTTGAAAGATGTTCCTTGGAACCTTTCTATGTTGAAAGGAACAGCTGGAAGAACGGTTCCTTCCTCTTCCAGCCCTTCCGAAAACCTTAGGGTTGAAAACTTTCCTCAGGGATGACTGAGCCTTATCAAGGGAACTAAATAGATTGACCTATTAATGTCCTTAATAAAGGATTTTCCGAATAGGAGACCTTCCGCAGCTGGACCAGGTTCGGAAGTGGCTAAATTTGACAGTTGAGGGTCAATTTTCATTAAAATAGACCTGCGGCGTTCACTGGTTAGCATTCCCCAAAAAGCATATAATGTGTTGAGTCCAGCCTCTCAAAGTATCAATGCTGGGAGGATTCCCAGAAGCTGCCGCATGTTCTAAAGTTTCAAACATTTTTAGCCACAGGGCCAGAAATGTCCATTAATTTATCTTGACAAGATTTTAGTGATCTGTCAAGACCTTTATTTGGGTTCTTCCCTGATTTTTGTTAAAAATTGCATAATAGTGGGATCTAGATCAGGGGTCTGTGCAACTTTCATTGACAAGGTCAGTCATTCAGCTCTTAGTTTATTTCTAGCTGCTTGGTCAAGGGGTTTCCTAAACCAGTATTCAAGAAATTTGGCTACATGAGCCATAGGAACCCATTCGGCTGACCTGGGGTGTTTTAATATGGTCTGGGTCGAATAATGGTTTACCATTAAAATCTGAAATAATATTTTCTTCATCAGATTTAGAGATAAGCTCAGGTGTTTCTGAGGTATATGAATAATTTGAGGCAGAATCGGTCAAATTTTTCATCCCCTGAGATTGAAGATGAGTCACTATGTGAGGAAGTTTTATAGGAGTCAGGTTTGCTCCTGTGAATGGCCTTCCGAGCTCGTTTGTCTTCCTCACGAGCAGAGGGTCTTTTGAGTGATTGATTACACTCTTCAGTTTTGCGTGAGACACTCGTTGTGTTCTTGTCTTGGTCCTTCCCTATCTTAAGTGGCTTAGAGCCGCCAGGGGATTCTGCAGGACCGTCAAAGCAATGTTTGCGTTTTTGGGTGGCCTTCCCAGACCTCCTAAAACCTTGAGCTAGGTTCCATTCAGACTCCACAGATGACCAGAACTGGTCTGAAGGAGTACTAATTAAATGAGTCTTCTCACTGGGTTTTGAGTTGCTTATGGCTTGAGCCACAGACTTTGCAATTGCTTCTTGCATAGAAGACATTGCAGCATAAATTGCAGAGGAAACTGACTTTTGAACGGATAAATCCACAATATTTTGTAAAGAATCCTCAGTGAGGATTTCACAGTCATGAGAAACACCAGGTTTTGGTGACTCAATTTGTCTAATCTCTTTAGAATTCATAATTTACAAAATTGCAACAAATCGCAATTGTATCTACTATTTGAGAATAGTTGAATAATAAAAATGTTGCCAACTATGAGGGGAAATCCTGACAGGAAAAATCTAATAGTTCAAATAATAATAATTACCAGTAAAGAGTAACAAGTTGTGAAGAAAAACGCTGTCCTGAGGTAAAGTGGGCGGGAAAGTTAGCTGAGGAGCAACTAACTGGTATTCCCGCCCATAAAACGTCATCAATGTATGAGGGACTAACTGACAAACGCGCGTGCAGCGGTTCGCATAAAACTGCCGAAATGACTGAAAAGTGAATTGACCGTTCGTATACAAAAAACCCGCGAACGCGAGAATAATAAAGTAATACGAAAAGTAAATGGGTACAATTTGTGTGAAAAAACTAACGAATGTGATTCATAGAAATAACTGACCTAACCGTTCAAAGACAAAATAGTCTATCCCCATCTGTCGTTCCAGTCCTTATATAGGATGAGTGTAACTGCTTCATACTGCAGCTGCTGTCAGTTTATACTGCGCTTAGTTCATAGTTTTGGGAGGTGGATTGTGCAGAGAGAGATCTTCCCACTTGCATTTGCGTAATCCAGATTTTGTACGCACAAATTGAGCAAAACTGACACTAGAAAGGAAGAAGTAAAAACTCTTCAATTTCAGTTTCTCAGCCATTGGACTGGCTAATAGATTCATTTATTTATTTTTTCAGATCACTGATAGTACTTGGTATTGCACCGTAATCTTTGCAATCATGCAAAAGTTATGGATCTTAGACAAAACATTTAAAACGTGTTTTCTGTTTTTAAAGCTATAGACAATGTCTCTGCTCTTTGAAGCTTCCAACATAATAAACATTGTTGGACCAACTGCTGTTTGAAATGTAACGGCTTAGTTCCCTTCAGAAACAAACTGCCGTGTATGAATGTTTGCTCTTAACTTTCCTCAAGTCTTAGACCAGATCTATATCCCCCCTTTTAATATTTGAATGGAAGGATCAGGTAGGTACTCATTCTATATTTTGCAGGTTACATTGGCAGGAAGTGTATAGCTTCCAAGATGTTCTTAAAGCCTACCACTCATCTAAGATGGCTGCCATATATAAGAGAGAGACGGTGTGTCTGCCAAACCCATGGTCCATAGTTAGCTTCAGCCTTATTTGCCCACTAAGAAGTGATGTGGTTCCCAAAGAGACCATGGTCTCTGTGCGTCATTGAAAAGGAAAATTATTCCTTTTCAGAAGCTGACCTGTGTGTGGGCAGAGTCCGGTTTAATGCTTTACATTTGACATGGTGAATCTTGAAACCAAAATAAACTCCTCCAGGGTCCGAATGAGACTAGGTTGAGAAAATATTGCTGAAGTTCGGAAAAGCAGAATATCAAGTATGCAAGTAAACTCCATTTATATTTCGCCTCCCCACTAAAGGCCAGTTTCTTGATGGCTTAATGCAAACAGAAGGTGGGACACTGGGCACACCTGTCTAGTCCCATTACAAATGAGGAGCAACCTGGAAAGCCTTTCCCTTGCTTCCACTGTGGCTTCTGGGCAGGAGTACCGATCCCTAATGTCTTTCAAAAAGTCTTCGCCAAACCCCTCTAAAACCATCCATAGGTAGCTTCAGTCCACATGGTCATTAGCCTTCTCTGCGTCCAATGACTATGGAAAGCTGGCATGCCTGAGGCCTCAACCAAATGACCAAATCCACTTTTCTCCTAATATTATCTGGAGCTTCCCTCCCTGGAATTAATCCATCCTGGTCTGGATCTACAATATACAATCAGGTCCATAAATATTGGGACATCGACACAATTCTAATCTTTTTGGCTCTATACACCAGCACAATGGGTTTGAAATGAAACAAACAAGATGTGCTTTAATTTGAGGGTATTTACATCCAAATCAGGGGAACGGTGTAGGAATTACAACAGTTTGTATATGTGCCTCCCACTTTTCAAGGGACCAAAAGTAATGGGACAATTGGCTGCTCAGCTGTTCCATGGCCAGGTGTCTGTTATTCCCTCATTATCCCATTTACAAGGAGCAGATAAAAGGTCAAGAGTTCAAGTGTGCTATTTGCATTTGGAATCTGTTGCTGTCAACTCTCAATATGAGATCCAAAGAGCTGTCCCTATCAGTGAAGCAAGCCATCATTAAGCTGAAAAAACAAATCAAACCCCTCAGAGAGATAGCAAAAACATTAGGTGTGGCCAAATCAACTGTTTGGAACATCCTTAAAAAAAATTTAAAAAAATAAATAAAATGCACCGGTGAGCTCAGCAACACCAAAAGACCCGGAAGACCACGGAAAACAACTGTGGTGGATGACCGAAGAATTCTTTCCCTGGTGAAGAAAACACCATTCACAACAGCTGGCCAGATCAAGAACCCTCTCCAGGAGGTAGGTGTATGTGTTGCAAAGTCAACAATCGAGAAGACTTCACCAGAGTGAATACAGAGGGTTCACCACAAGATGTAAACCATTGGTGAACCTCAAAAACAGGAAGGCCAGATTAGAGTTTGCCAAACAACATCTAAAAAAGTCTTCACAGTTCTGGAACAACATCCTATGGACAGATGAGACCAAGATCAACTTGTACCAGAGTGATTGGAAGAGAAGAGTATGGAGAAGGAAAGGAACTGCTCAAGATCCAAAGCATACCACCTAATCAGTAAAGCATGGTGGTGGTAGTGTCATGGCGTGGGCATGTATGGCTGCCAATGGAACTGGTTCTCTTGTATTTATTGATGATGTGACTGCTTACAAAAGCAGCAGGATGAATTCTGAAGTGTTTCGGGCAATATTGTCTGCCCATATTCAGCCAAATGCTTCAGAACTCATTGGACGGCGCTTCACAGTGCAGATGGACAATGACCCGAAGCATACTGCAAAAGCAACCAAAGAGTTTTTTGTTTTTTAAGGGAAAGAAGTGGAATGTTATGCAATGGCCAAGTCAATCACCTGACCTGAATCAGATTGAGCATGCATTTCACTTGATGAAGACAAAACTGAAGGAAAAATGCCCCAAAAACAAGCAGGAACTGAAAACCGTTGCAGTAGAGGCCTGGCAGAGCATCACCAGGGATGAAACCCAGCGTCTGGTGAGGTCTATGCGTTCCAGACTTCAGGCTGTAATTGACTGCAAAGGATTTGCAACCATGTATTAAAAAGTGAAAGTTTGATTTATGACTGTTAATCTGTCCCATTACTTTTGGTCCCTTAAAAAGTGGGAGGCAGATATACAAACTGTTGTAATTCCTACACAGTTCACCTGATTTGAATGTAAATACCCTCAAATTAAAGCTGAAAGTCTGTAAAGCACATCTTGTTTGTTTCATTTCAAGCCAATTGTGTTGGTGTATAGAGCCAAAAAGATTAGAATTGTGTCAATGTCCCAATATTTATGGACCTGAGTGTATAAGGTAGTCGCATGGGTAAAAATTTTCGAGCCTTTGTATTGCCCAAGAGAGTCTAATCCTGTCCCTGCAAGAATCTAATATAGAACGGTGAGATGTGGCAGGAGAATTACTTTTCTTATAATAAAATACCAAGCAACCATGCGGTCACAGTATAATTTTTTTTTTTTTTTATCCCAAAATATTAAATCATTTAAAAAGCTTTATCCTAAATGACCTGTATTAAAGGGACACTGTAGGCACCCAGACCACTTCAGCTCATTGAAGTGGTCTGCGTGCTGTGTCCCTTTTGCACCTAGTGCTGCAATGTTAAACATAGCGGTTCCAGACAGCCACGAGGGCGCTTCCGGAATCGTAACAGACTTTTGGTCCATTATCTGGTGCTGGACATCCTCACGCTCTGCATGAGGACCTCCAGCATCTTATTTTACCCATAGGGATGGTTTGATTCAATGCTGTCCTATGCGGAGGTCTAATGCGCGTATGGCATTTGCGGCACATGCGCATTAGATTCCGCTCGTCGTGGCACGGAGGGGGGCAGAGCTTTGACCCAGCTCAGAGGGACATCGTCGCTGGGATAAGGTAAGTAAATGTTTTTTTAACCCTCTATTTACTAGGGAGGGGGAGCAGAGGGATCAGTAGTGCCAGGAATACAGCTTTGTATTCCTGGCACTACAGTATCCCTTTAAATAGAGGCCTTAGTTGGATGAATTTACTAGTTATGATATAGACCTGTTATGCCCTCCATCCAGGGTGAGCTGTAAACTCTAGGTGGCCTATTTAACTGTTTGGAACTCTTGACTGGAGTCAGAAGTGCTCTGGATAGACTTCGCAGTGCTTGAGACTAAATATGTGATGGCAGTGAAATTCTGGAGGAAAAAAAAAAAGTACTATGACTGTTAACTTCCAGCGAGCTACTAAAGGAGCTTCCATGTTGAGAACCATGTCAAACTTTAGAGCAGCATCTGATTGGCGCAGCACTGCATTTGCCACACATGCGCACTAGCCTGAGATTGACTGAGCTCATCAAGATCTCCATTACAGCGCCTTCATGTCCTCCACTTCATGGTTATTACTCTTCTTGTAACAACTACGTACAGTCCGCTTACGCTCTGCCTGCTGTCTTGTTTTATTTGCCCTACTTGGGCAAGTACTAAATAAATAAGCACATCTTCGAGGGCACCTACATAGAATTGAGTGGCTGTCTAACTTTGTATTTTACACGATTTTTCTCTAACTATTAAAGTACCGTGGCTCTGTTGATAACTGTATTTAAGGAGAGGAAATCGTTCAAGTACGTAAGGATTGATATGTCATAAATTGGTCAAAAATATTGTACAGCTATTAAGAAGAACAAAGCAGATCCCCGACACTCAATTGGATTGAATTGGGTTATGTTTTAACTTCTATTCCCTAACAACCTATTGGTTTAGGCAAGTTTTCACTCCTCCACAAAAACTAAAACTAAAGAACATAGTGCAATAGAGTAAATCCAAAAAAGTGTATAAATACCGATATTACTTTGTAATACCTGCTCCAGGTACAATACACCTTCAGCCGATTTTAAGTCCATATCTGTGTTTTTTTTGTTACCACACTAACTTAAATCGGCACGAGGTGTTGTACCTAGAGCTGTTGTTACAAAGGCACTCTCAGGTGTGCCCAATAATAGAAGTGCCATACCTGTGTGTGTATACCTTACCAATGGTAATATACTAGATGCCTGTTTTTCTCAGAACAGCAAATGTCAAATGGTTGCTGTTTAGGTGGTGTGCTACCTTTTATAGGCACAGAAGCGCAAAAGATCAAAGCCACCATATTCTCTCTCTCTCTCTCTCTCCCCCCCCCTCCCCCCTCCTTTACTTTAACTAATTGTCCACTCTTTCTTACAGGGAGACCCATGTTACCTCGTCATCTTCATAGTTTGGGCAGAAACTATATTGCCCGATCAGAATACCCTAAGGCTCTGTTTATGAACAGGCCTAGTTTTTGTTACCCATGGTGGACTGGACATCATCCCTGGGCTCCATACCCACCAGTCAACAATTGCCATCCTCCAGTAAACTGGAGACCTCACCATTCTTTTGGACCAGTAAGAACTTCATATCCAAATTATTTTCATTGGAACGCCCCTCAATCATCTTGGATTCATTTTTCTAACTTTAACATGGCATCTAAGGGAGATGAGCCGTTACCGAAACGTTTCAAAACTGCCGACGAAAGCCGTCCTGAAAAAGTGTCCTCTAAAAGATCATACAGTCCAGCTAAAGATTTCATAGTCCCACCAATGTCTAATTCTTCTGCTTTACCTTCCTCCAAGAATCTTGGAAAAGAGGCACCTTTCAAAGGTGAGTTGTTGTGTTTTTTTTTTTTGTTTGTTTGTTTTTTTCTGTTTAAGAGAAATGTATGGGGGGACGGGGCGGGGAGAAATGCAGTCACATTTTCACTTTTGCAGTAATCTGCAAATGCATGGGTGTAGACAGCTGGCATGGGGAACTTTGGGTTTAGCTATGTCTAAAGAGTTCATTGGATTGCAGGTGCTGAGGACTGAAATAACTGACCCTTGCCAGGAAACTCATGGCTCTACAGCCAATACCCATTGCTGTTAGTGGTTATGTTGCTTAGACTGCTGTTTTAAAGTGTGACCTGCCAGTTTGGTAGACACAACATGGCTGTAAATGATAGGAATGTATGTTGAATTGATTTACAGTCAAAGTTCTCTTTGTTTAACAGGACCGATTAGAAGACAGTGGGAGGATTTTAACCACTGTTATATGGAAAAATCTAGTGCTCAACATGGTCACAGAAGATCTCCTATAAAATTTGACTTCACTGTTCTATCCTATAACATTCTTTCTCAAGACTTGCTGGAGGACAACTCTCACCTATACAGTCATTGCCGAAGGCCAGTTCTTTTCTGGAGCTACAGACTCCCCAATATTCTCAAAGAGCTCAAAGAGATGGATGCTGATGTAAGTGTAACTTAATTGCCATAGGTTCTTCCCTCAAGGTCAATCAGTGATAATTGAACTCTTCTTAATTCCATGCTGGCAGACTTCCTTGGCACCTATATTGTGGTTTCTTAAATCTGCTTCGATCTGGATTTATTTTTATTTTTTTCTCATTTGTATTAAAGGGACAATATACTTACTAGACCAACTACAGCTTATTGTATTTGTTCTGGTGACTAGAATCATTCTCTTCAGGCTTTTTGCTGTAAACACTGTCTTTCCAGAGAAAATGCTGAGTTTATATTACAGCCTAGTAATAATTCCACCGGCCTCATGGCTACTAGAGGTGCTTCCTGGGGCAGTGCTGCCTAGAATGCATCACAACATTCAGTGTGTCCACCCTCTGCATGCAGACACTGAACTTTCCTCATAGAGATGCATTGATTCAATTAATCTGTATAATGAGATGCTGATTAGCCAGGGCTGTGTTTAACTTGTGCTGGTAATGCCTCTGATCTACCTCCCTGACAATCTCAGCCAATCCTATGGAGAAGCATTGTGAGTGGATCAGACCACCACTTCTGATGATGTCAGCAGACAGGGGCATAGCCAGCAGCTGCAGACTTGAATACAAGTAAGATGTTACCATCTTTAGGGGGGCAAGAGGGGCTCAGGGGGGCTTGATGGTGGTTTTAACATAAAAGGGTCAGGAATACATGTTTGGGAGATGAGCGGCGTAATTAACTTTTACTCGACTCATCTAACCGCTCGTAAACGCTCACATCACGTGCATGATGTAGTGTTCACTATTTCTGACAGAGAAGCATTAGATTCAATGCTTCTCTATCAGAATGATCTGATTGGAGGGTTGCTGTTCTTGTTGCACATGCTCCATAGGTCCAACAAATCTTCTCTCTGAGAGGCATTTGATGGGACCTCAGACCAAAAGCACAGAGGTGGGTTAACCTGGGTGTAGGCTGAGAGAGCTTCAGGGAAAACTTGGTTCCAGCACAGTGTTCAAGGTAAGGATTATTTATTGCCTTTATATTAGGGTGTGTTTTTTGGTTGTTTTTTATTTATTTATTTTTATATTGAAAACAAACAGGGGAATTGTAAGTGCCAGTGTCACATTTAGTACAAAATAAGTATTCATGAATAATATGCTTTTGGTAATCTTTCAAATGGACACTATATGACACTAGAGCACTGCAATTTAACTGCATGTCTCGGCAGGCTTATGCTATAATCTCATTGTTGGTGTGTCCCAATGCTGCTGCTGTTTTTAATCTATGTAAGCTACATGCACAATGGGCAGGAACAATTTTTTTATTTTATTTATTATTTTTTTTTTTATATATCCGATGAAGATGTTCTTTGCAATGTAATTGTGTCTGGGGAATTTACTCTCTTCCATATATTTTTACAGATACTTTGTTTACAAGAGGTTCAAGAAAATCACTACCGCACCCAGATCAAGCCCAGTTTGGAAGCTCTTGGTATGCAGTATTAATGTTTTTCCAAAGGTTTGGCTCATGGGATTCCTGATTTTATCAGGAATTTACAACCCTGTTGTAATGCAAATTAATTTTAGAATTTAAAGGGACCATAAAGCTTAATGTTGGTACTGTTGTCTATAGTGTATTTCTGGAGGCTGAGCACTGTAAATGCTACATTTTCAGAGAATTTCCAAGAATCTACAGATTGCCATCTAAATTACTCTAAATTCTAGTGCTCTCTGCATGATAACCTGCAAGTTCAGAGTGTCAGGAAGGAGACCTAGATACATAACCTTGAATCTTGTCAGACCAGAATCAAACACTGTAGCAACAGAAGAGCTGTTCCACCCTGCATCAACCTAATGTGTGTGTGTGTGTGTGTGTGTGTGTGTGTGTGTGTGTTTGAAACCATATTTGTCTGATTCTAAATCCTAGTTTTTTGTTAATTTCAGGTTACCACTGTGAATACAAAACACGAACTGGAAGTAAGCCTGACGGTTGTGCCATTTGCTTCAAGTCCTCTAAGTTTCTTTTAACAATGACAAAACCTGTGGAGTATTATCGGGAGCACATTAATCTGTTAGACAGAGATAACATTGGCCTTATTCTTCTACTCCAGCCCAGAGTAGATCAGGAAGCGCCCTCAATATGTATAGCAAATACACACTTGTTATATAACCCACGGAGAGGAGACATTAAACTGACTCAGCTGGCAATTCTTTTGGCAGAAATTTCTGGTGTTGCACATTTGACAGACAGCAGTTCTTGTCCTATTGTCCTTTGTGGAGACTTTAATTCTGTACCTGGCTCTCCCTTACACAGCTTTATAAAAGAAGGGGTGTTGAACTATGGGGGATTATCAATTGGAAAGGTAAGGAGCCATCTTGTGTGGGGGGTGTGGGTACTATATCCAGTACATTTACTGGTTTTAATTAAAGGGACACTATAATCTCCAAACAACTTTAACTTAACGTAGCAGTTTTGGTGTATAGAACCTGCACTGCTCAATTCTCTGCCATTTGGGAGTTAAATCGATTTGTTTATGCAGTCCTAGTCACACCTTCCTGCATGTGACTTACTACATTACACAGCCTTTCTAAACACTTTCTGTAAAGAGTCCTCTAACATTTACACTTTATTGCAGATTCTGTAATTCATCTCTTGCACTGTTAATAACTTGGGTCCAAAATAGCCAAACTATTTGTATTTTTAATTTGGTTTTGTGTTTTTTGGTTTTGTATTGTATTTTTTTCTTTCCCCAGGTTTCAGGCCAGGAGCAGTATTCTTCAGGAAGAAGGCCTTTATCTGTTCCTATTTGGCCAGACTCACTCGGCATCTCCCAGAACTGTGTTTATGAATCAAAGGAAAGCACAGAAAAGGCTGGTATGTGTTGTGTTGTTTATTACTATTATTGGGACAAGCTGCATCCAGGACATTCTGTTCAGTTTGTGTCCTACAAATAAAGTTTAGACATGGGGATATTTTATGGATATGAGAGGTATTTTATTTAACACTGAAAAATCTTAAGAGCCATGTAATCAGCGTACCGCTGCATGTAATTCTAATGGTTATGGTGCATGATTTCTATGGGTAATGCTCAGAAATATTTGGGATATGTGGCAAACCATTTTGAGCCTTCTGCTCGGATAGTCGAGAATTTATGTAACAATTGTGTGGATGTTCTTAAGAAGTAAGTAAAATGTTCTATAATTTTCACTTTTTATTCTTTAGAAGAACAAGCAATTGAAGAGCAGTCTGTACAGAACAAAAGGTATATTTTTATGGAGAACTTCTTTTGACACACATTTGAAGAGAAACACATCATGTGTGTGCTGTTTTAGCTGGAAAATAACTAGTTCTTTTGTGAAGCATTTAAGACCATGCAGTTTCACACTTGACCATCACAGTAGATCAGTCTGCATGTAATGTGCATATACCATCAACACTCTTCTAGCCACCCACTGACCTCTGTGGGTAGCATTATCATATATTTCTACTGTACTGCAATGTGCTTGTTTTCATACATAGGCCTCAATTCAATATTTTTGGATAAGCCTTTTGTTAATTATTTATCTACAGAAATCACCAATAAAGTCTATATGGGGAGTTTTGTAGATAAATAATTTTGAAAAGTTTATCTAGCAAAATAAAAATGGAGGCCATAGTTCATAGTGGAGAACAAATTAAACCATTTTGGTGTATAGATCATGGCCCTACAATCTAACTGCCAAATTCTCTGCTGCTTAGGGTAATTATGTTGTTTTCGATGCAGCCTACATGTAAAAATGTTTCAATCCGGTATTACAAAACATTGGGTTTACTGTAGCTGTACTTGTCTCCTGCTCTGTTAGTTGAACTTTAATCCCCCATTTTAGGCTCCTGCGGGTTAATTGCAGAGCAGGAGAGAAGACATTCTAAATTAAGCACACTACATAAATCGCAGGTCAGGTGAGGCTAGGACTGCATATGGTTTAACTCCTAAGTGGAAGAGAATTGAGACGCTTATTGAAGTTATTTGATTTATAAATCATACCACTGCAGTCTCACTAAAACTGTTTTGGTGCTTAGTGTCGCTTTAAATACTAGACTCACTCACTCTTAAGTTTGGCAACATGTGAATTTCTAAAAATAACTTGGGGTCTGTGTCCTTAAATGAGTCCTTTTTGTTCAGTAGGGTGCAATCCAGCATACAGCACCATTTCAGCTTGTCCTCAGTCTATTCACATTATGTTCCTGGGACTGGAATGCCTGAAGTCACAACATGTCACTCCAAGTCTGCAATCACTGTGGATTACATTTTCTACTCCTCTGCTATGGATGATATTTTTGTTCCGCCAGGTAAGCCCCAAATAAGTTCAACATACATTTATATATGCAGAGTAAGTAAAAACCTCCAAAGCTTGATATGTTAAAGAGAACAGTCACAAATATGTCGTCCCCTACATACTTGCACAGGTATACATACCCTGGAAGTATTTCTTTATAGAGAGGGTAGTGGATGCATGGAATAGTCTTCCAGCTGAAGTGGTAGAGGTTAACACAATGAGGGAGTTAAAGGATGGGTGGGATAAACATAAGGCTATCCTAGCTATAAGATAAGGCCAGGGACCAAATGAGAGTATATAGAAAATTGGGCAGACTAGAAGGGCCGACTGGTTCTTATCTGCTGTCACATTCTATGTTTCTATGTTACACATTAACACACAGATGCATATATACACACTGATACATACAAAGATACACACTGTGACAGATCTATACACACACAGTGACATAATCCCATAAATGTTTATATTTGCAGCCACCCTCCTGTTAGCTTACCTTTCAGTGTAGTGGTGTGCTGCAGCTCCTGTCTCTCTCCCATCATGCTGCATGTGTGTGCCTCCTTCGCCGCCGCCTTCCCTCCAGCATGGTGCACTCAGCGGCTGGGAGAAAAGGATCAGCTGTCTCTTCCTCCCAGCCATCAGATACTGCAGGGGCCCTGGTCAGGCTCTTAAAGGGCCGTGGCACCTGACACCCTGGTAAGCAATAAGGCAATATTACCCATAGGGTGGTCCTAAGTGCATGGGCCCCCAGAGCTGGTGGGCCCCAGTGCGGGTGCACTGGCAATAGTTCTGCCACTGGATATCACTGTTCAATTTTGACCACCTTGGATGCATAGGGTTCTGGATTTACGTTCTCCAGTAAAATGTTTGAATTCCATTCACTGCTACAAAAAATATCTAAATAATTGCACCATGTACTGATGTCATTAAACTTAAAATTGATGCTATATACTTACTGTCACTTTTTTTTTTTTTTTTTATAAAAAAATATATACTTGCCATCATCGGTTTTCTAGCTAATTGTTATTGGTATTGTTTTGTTTTTTCTTCAGGTGGCAGTGTGACTTGTAATGGATTGAAGCTTCTCGGAAGACTATCTCTACTCACTGAACAGGATCTATGGAGTGTCAATGGGCTACCCAACGAAAACAATTCCTCCGATCACCTTTCATTACTAGCCAAATTCAGGCTGGAAATATGACTCCGACTCCAAAAAGGATTTTCGTTTTCTTTGTCTTAATTTATATTTTGAGTAGGTTTTAATAAAACACCTGGATAAAACTTAAAGCCAGGATGAAGGACAAAGATTTGTTTTAGAGCTCCTATTTTATTAATGTTTTTTGTTTTGTCTTTATCCCTTTTTAAAAAAAATAAAAAATAAATAAATACATTTTTAAAAAAAAATGTATTTTTGAATTGCACTTGTTAGTGCTGGTTTGTAAAGTGTTCTATAAAACTGCTGTGTAAATATTTTCTAATCATGTTTTAAATGTGTAAAATAAATATTTTTGGTTTTTCCTTTTGTCAACCTAGACATTTGCATACTGTTTTTATTGAGCAACCTCTGGTACTGTACATAGTTTTCCTGTTGTCAAAAAACTGCTTGGGCTGACCTCTAAAAATGTAAGATACTAGAAAGACCGGTTGGATCCTTGCAAAAGCATGTTTAAATTTTTTTATATATATATTTTGCTGGACCTATTTTAATTCGGCTATGTGTATGCTAAACTAGGAACTCTGCAGACAAGATGTAAACCTTTTGTGTGAGGTAGGTTCAGTTAATACAGATTATTGCATTGATTCTCTCCCATTTAATTGGCTACATAGGTTTCCTCGCCGCTTAAACAAAATAAAAATCAATTTGATCATACTATCTTGTGATCTGTACATTTATCTTGTTTGTCTAGCATTATGCATTCATGGGCTTGTTTGTACTTATTGTGCCCTTATTGTGTTTACTTAAAGGGTACCTGTCATAGTACGTACAACGTATGTGCAAACTTATAGATTGGGAGAAACCACAATTGTAAAATAGGTTCTTCTAATGGGGAGGTACTTGACCCTGGAGCAGACCAGACGCGTGGCATGCATGCTCCTGCTTATATGGTTGATTTGGGGGGTGCTAATCTTGGCCAGCACTCAAATCTGACTGACTAATAAAAGTGTGCTACCTGGGTCGGGGCTTTCCTGGACGGACAAACTAATACCCTACTCGTGTCTTACCACCACCGGGAACCTGAGCAAGACTGCTGCAGATGGAGCAGGGGAGTGGTGGCCAATCTTCCTGCTCTACATACTCCGACACTGCACTGCTGTGCCCCCCACCCCGAGTGGGGAATATCCCAGTCCCCACTGGACAGTCTTGAACGGCTCTGCCATACTTATTTTGAGCTCCAAACTGCTCCTGAGCAACACTTTACGCACTTTATTCGTTCAAGATGGTGGCAGCTCTTCCCCATGACACGCAGGTTCTGGGCCTAACTTGGCTACCACACTTTTGCTTTGCTACTCCTACCCTGATGGAGGAGATTTTCCAGAACTGTTGGATAAAACTCCAGAATTGCTGAAAATCAGCTCTGCCTTGTCTGCCGAAAGCAAACTTGAGAGGACTTGTGCCAAAACGGGGGGGATCCCCTCTGGGCAAGCCTCCTATACAAAAGCAGTCTCTTGACACTACCTGAGAGCCTACTGGAGTGTTACCTCAAAACATTGATGACACGGGCCAGAGATCTTATGCCAAATAGGCCCCCACGAACTGGATCTTCCCACCACCCCCACAGTGGGAGACTTGTCACCTACAGATTACCAGGTCTGTGGTTCACAGCGCTTACTAAGGCCTTGAGTGGAGTCCTGTCCAGACTCAGCATCACAGTTCTTTATGTCAACTCTCTGGGTTACATGCCACACCTGACGCTAAAGGGGATCGGCTGATTTAAACACCGGCTCAGTCATCCTAGATCTGCACAAATGTGCTAACTAACATGCAGTGACATGCTATGCCTAACTCCAGAGGGTTAACACGCTATTTAATTGTTCTCCATGGTATATGAAAATGGCTGTCAATGTTGTCTTGTACCATGCTTTCAACCCCATACTACCATGTTTAGCTTGTCATGTTTTACTCTGTATGGTCAATTGATCTAGCTCAGCTATTTCACTAGCGGTTTACAATGCCTGTCTGATTCTTGCAATCTTTGGAGACATGACACTCCATAAAACAGTACAGAAAGCGTGACAACTCATGCAAAGCCTTTACTTGTTTATCATATATATTTCTGCTGAAATGTCTCTTCAGTGCCTGTAATTATACCATGCACTAAAAAAAAATAAAGGTAAAAAAATAGATCTCCCCCTTGTTAGTTCTTTAATTCTTCGGCATAGACTCTATACTAACGAAATGATTGACAAGGGAAAAGAGAAGACATTCCACAGATGATTCTACTGCTCACCACACTTAGAAACCACAGCGCATGCATTAGCAGACACTGACAGGACTGGTTAGAGAGTATAGGAACGTAGTGACTGACATTACAGATGCTGGCAAAAAAGACAGTTTATTGGTGTCATGGAGGTTCGTCCTCCTTGGGGGAAGCGTTGCAAGCAGTGAAAATTGAAGATTGCAGGAGGAACTAATAATGCCCCCGGAGAAGAGGGAATGGTGGTGCTGGATAAGAGGTACAGCAATTTTTTTTTTTTTAAGTATATTAAAACTTTATATTGAACCTATCCTGTATCTAAGGAATATATAATGTAATCAATGCATTTGGGGTAAATTTTATGTTAATGGAAACCTATAGACCTCAAAACTGCTGTTGCTTAAAGGGATACTATAGTGCCAGGAATGCAAAGCTGTATTCATGGCACTATAGCTCCCTCACGCCCATCGTTGCAGTAAATAAAGGGTTAAAAACCCTTTACTTACCTGATCCCAGCGTCAATGTTACCTAGTGGTGGGTTGTGGCTCCGCCTCCTCTGACATAACTTCACTACGTGGTGCCAATGCGCATATGCGGTATGTGCTGCTCATGCATATTATACTTCCCCATAGGAAAGCATTGAATACATTCTTTCCTCTGGGGAAACAGCTGATATTGGATGTCCTCCTGGACAGCGTGAGGACGTCCAATGTCAGCAAACCAAAAGTCCAGTAAGCGCCTCCAGTGGCTGGCTGGAGCCCTCATTCGTAGCACAAGTTTTATCAACCCATAGAGCCATTAGAGAATTATGGGCTAAGGAAGACATTTCAAGCATGCTTATGATCATACTGAAAATAAATATAGAGACCATCCATCCACAAAATATGGGATCCTTGGCTACATGGATAAGATCCTACTCTTTATGAGAATTATCTATATAGGGACAACATTCACTTTCTATAATTCCATAAGGCACATTAGCACTCCTTCCTTTCCTTTTACTCTCCCCTCTTAACTGTTCACTCAGGCACACATCTGGGCGCCCTCTTTTCTCTTTCACCTTATCCCAAGACCCCTAGACGTACTCACCCTTCCTTCACTTTTACATCTGTCCCAATGGATTTGTATATAGTTCTTAACCCTCTGACCCCCCTTTGCCAAACTTATACCACTCCTGCCACAACCCAGAATCCTTCTCCCCATTTCCCCCTAAACTCCTTAGCCCGGATATAAAACATCCATGAAACTCTCAACTGTTTTTGGCCACACCAACCCTTTCATCTCTCTTATATAAATGTGCTTTTAGGGGGATTGCTCGATGTAAGTCAGTGCTCTGAGTGAGTGACAGTCACTACCTCATACATATAGAAATGTTACTTATTTTATGTATTTGCGACGTAGCCAATTAGCAAATTGTTTAGAACCTTTGATAGAACAACAGTGTGTTCTATTTCCCCACTCTATTACCTCTTTGTTTTTTAAATTAATTTGTATTTGCTTCTTGTTTGTATGAAACAAATACAAGTGAAAATAAAAAACTATTTAAAAAAAAAAAAAAAGCCATAATTAAAATGTGCTTGAAATATCAATTGAGCATTATTGCTGATAGGTGAAATTTAAATTGTTAATAACGATCAGCAAGTCTTAGAACTGTTTATTATAGTGTGGGCTTAACCAAAAATAGCATCATTGGGAAAGGTTTCCATGTTGAAAATGGTAAAGATGTTTTTCTGCAGACACTGTAGTCATTTCCTGTGACAAAGAAGTGCGTAATGACAATACTCTGCCATAATAATCCTATTACTTTACTATAATAACCAGCATTATTTGAACAACGTGGACATTTTATTATTTATGTTGAATCACTTGGTGATACTTTGTGATTAAGGGGTTAACAAAAACAGATTTTCCCATTTTAGGGACACTCCGAACACCATAACTAGTCCGTCTTACGGTACAAGGAGCCTAGAAGTGGAGTCCAGGTTTTTGTTAATTTCCAAGTAGTATGACAAGTAAGGAATTTCTTCTAAACCCACCCTCTGTACCAGGACTGCCGTAATGAAGAACATGTCCAGTTCCTTATGACCCATACGGTAACATTAGTACAGCAAGAGTATGCAGAATCTGTTAATTCACAAAATGAATAGTAATTCCATGTGGCCCAAACCGCCTCCTAACCCATTGCTTGCTAGACTTGTGCATATCCTGGGTTACCTGGGGAGTTTTATCCATTGAAGAACACCAGACGGATGGATTTGTTCAGGTACAGATTTAAAGGAATATGATACATTTGTACCAGTTCACCCCTTTCTAATGCACGCTATGAGCATGCAATATCCTAACCATGCAAATTTCTATGGATGAAATACACTTTCTCCCCAGCAGAGGGAGAACTTCTAGAATGCCAGAGAATTCCTCTGTGAAATCACTTGAGAATATTTGGCTAAACACATGGGAAGCTAATTGCATCATAAGCACTAATAAGCTATTGTGGCGTTTCCAGTGTCCTGTTTCATTATAGGATGGAATAATATTGGGCACTAACTTGCATATAAATATAATTAATTAGATAGAGTAACCAGTGTCATGGAATAAAATATAGACTGTCTTTCAAACAGGCTGAAAGAGATGGAAGGGAATCTACCAGCGTGTCAAACACCACAGTATATTATATTATAAATCTAAGGGATGGGAGCTCAGTGTTCGTCTGGGGATAGCGCAGTTACTGCCATACTCACACAGCCGTTGTAATTGGAGTCATAGTCTATAGTTCATTTTAAAATATGATGGTTTCTGCAGGCCAGTGGTGAAACATATATAGTAGTGCGTACATTACAAAAAAACTTTTAAAAAAAAAGCTAAAGTAAAAATTATAAAACGACTGTTTCCCAAAAATCACAAAACATGTAATTATATTGAAGATACAAAGACACCTATTAATTAAAGGGGGAAAAACAGGACAGAAAACATTACCAAAGCTGAACGTATATCATGTCTCCACTGGACGATTCGTTATTATTTATTTTATGATGTTTATGTTTAGCCTGCTAATATCTCTGGTATATTGAGGAATGTTTTGTATCATGCGGGCATGTTACTTCAAAAAGTGTCTGCTAAAAAGTGTGAGAAAACAAACCTTTTCTCAGCCACTTATGCCCTCTTTATCCACCTCATCACATGGCCCTCAGTCCTGTCTACACAGACACTCACAACATCATTGCAATTTTTCCAATTCTTATTCACTTCATAACCAACATTTCTCTTTCAGTATTAAATATGGACATAAATATGGAAGTTTCATTCACCCTCTACACTATTTCTGTTTATTTACTATTCTACGTCATCGCAACATCCACAAGTTTCTTGATTTTTTTTTCTTCTAAATAATCAATTGATTTAATTTTTTCAATACCAACTCATATTAGACCCTCAACCCGTTGCCAGTACTCACACTACTGAGCCCGCTCTAACCAAAGCGATGAATGGTCTTCATTACACTTTTCAATCTCATTGCTGGTTCAACTTTTTTTCTTCTCCCTCTGCTCATATGATGTCTCAAGCACTACCTTTTAAATTCGAGGTCCCCTAGGATCAGATCTGGGCCCCCTTCTGTTTTTGTTTCTTTTAGCCATAGTTTATTCACAATCTAAGAACTCCAGGTTCCAGTACCACCTATTAAGTAAGGTCCATCTAAAATACCTCCTTTCCTCAGATCCTCCCTTTTACTCTTGAATTTTGTCCCCAATGAACTTTCCTTAAATGATTACTTTAAAGGGAAACTATAGTGCCAGGAAAACGACCTCCAGTCCTTGCATCCAATAATTAAAGCTGCCGACTGAGTGATCTTAATTGGCTCCTACTTTTCTCATATGTCATTAATAAATCCACTGTAAATCTACTTCAAATATTTCACTTTATGGGGGGCGGGGCCTGACCAGCATGGCTGACAGACGTGTGTGTGGTGAGCTCCTCACACAATCCTAACTAAACCGAGTACAAACAGAAATGCTACCCCTAAAACAGCACCAAATGAGATTGCACACTGAAAATAACTGCTGGGGAGCACAAGCAGACGACTCTGGAGACTCGTCCGCCGTCCTGAAGCCAAATACTGCATTTGAGGCCTACACAGGCGGAGGGACCCATGGAGGGAGGAAACGGCCGATCCTCCAACCTGGGACCACCAAGCAAATGCTAGCAACCCGTTCCCCCCCCCTCTGGACCGGTGGGGGTAATCCCGGTCCCTGCTGGGGAAAAGAAAACCGAGAGCATCCCAACAACACATGCCGCTGCTTCCTGCTCCTGGGCCGCAACCAACATGGCCGACGGAGCAAGGGAACACCCTGAACCGACATGGGAAACTGGGTTTAATGCTGCCTTCGACAGGATATGTGCAACGTTCTGGGGCCAGATTGCAGCCCGGGCAGAGCAAACACAGCAGTCTATCACTTACACCACACAGCCCCAGGCGGAATTC